TGGATGGGCGGGAGAATGCGCTGGGGGGAAGTGCGATTGAGCGCATGGGCCGACATCAAGTCGATTGCATAAGCCAGGCGGCCCTGCAGACTCCCTCGTCCTACACGCCAGCAAGCACCTCAGACTCACAAAGTACTCATACCCAAATGTCGACGGGGCAGATTACGTGGCGCTCGTGCACCCAGACCTGGACAGGGAAACCGAGGAAATCATAGCAGATGTGCTCAAAGTGGAAGTGTTCAGGCAGACTGTCGGGTGAGTGTCGCTTTGTACGGCGAGCGCGAGAGAGAGAGAGAGAGAGAGAGAGAGCATGGGAGAGAGAGCGTTTGCATTGCCCCTCGCGCTTGTGCCTGAGACTGCTTGCAACTCTGCATCTGCTCAACCCCAGCATCGCTCGTCGCTGATCGCATGCAACACGTCTTTGTCGATCTTGCCTTGCCTTTTTGCAGCGACAACGTCCTCGTAGGGTCGTACGCTTCCCTGACAAATCAGGGCGCACTAGTGCATCCTAAGACATCGCTGCAAGATCAAGACGAGCTATCCTCCTTGCTTCAGGTGCCCGTCATTGCAGGAACAGTCAATCGAGGATCCGAACTGATCGGAGCTGGATTGTTGGTCAACGACTTTGCAGCTTTTGCCGGATTGGACAGCACAGCGACGGAATTGTCCGTCATCGAAGCGGCCTTCAAGATCAATCAGGCGGGCGGAAGCGGAGTGGTCGACGAACTCAGAGACGCGCTCGTCGATACGTATGCCTAGCTGTAGTGGGCAGGGCGCCCCCGTCAATGAAAATCTGCTGCTACACAAGTCGAAGCATTGCGATTTGGGCATTTGCGATGCTGCGTGGGAATCCGTCGAGTGTTTGCGCTCAAGACGCACAGACGAGGATAGGGAGCGAGTTTTATTGTTCATTAACATGGCCGGTGCTTGGGATTGACTGGAACAGGTGATGAATCGGATGAGAGCGCGATTACAGATGAGCTTTACTAGAGATTGCTGAAGCGCGATCGAGGCGAGTTGGTGGCATTGCTACACGGGACGAAGTTAGGGCGATGGGTAGGAGGCGGAAGGGATTGGCGAGCTGAGCAAAGCCTTACCAGCATGCACGAGCTCGCTCACTCTCTCACACACACATGCCACTCACCCATTTTGAGTTTGCAAAAAGTCATCCATACCTTGATACTCTCCAATCTTCATATTATCGCGCACGAGATCCTGCCAATCTTGCGGGTCGATGATGATGCCTTTTGCGCCTCTTGCAGCTCCAGCTCCCGCTCCATGGATCATGTCCAATTCGCGAAAAGCGGCTAACCACCAGGCGTGCGTCGTTGCGTTGTCTGTTGAGCGAACCTCTTGCCAGATGGATTGCCAGGGCTTGTCGAGGATGTAGTGCACGTTTCGCACTTCTGCATCCACCCACATACGAGGGTGCACGTAGCGCAACCTGTTTTGACGTCGTGTCGTCGCGCGAGTCAGGTCACGCCCGCGTTCCATCGATCAAGGCGCAATTCCACGCGAGCAAAAAAAACAAGAAAAAAAAAAAAAAAGAC